TTGAGAAGCAGTGTATTCCTCCGTAGGAGAGTGACCAGCGACATTAAAGACGGTGGCCTTGAGCCGCAGATAAGGACAAGGCTGGGGCTGTTGGGGCTCAGACTGACGAGGACAGTGATAACTCATATCAGATAAGAAATGACCGTTTATGCTGCGATGAAAGAGTAACAGCGTTGCATTAGTGAGGTATTTGTGGAGCTGTATCAATTATACACAACTTCCTAGCGACACACACACACAGGCTATTTAAAAAAAAGAGCCATTATCTTGATACCTAGATAAAATAGAGGGATTTTTATGAAAACTAGCCACTTTTAGTTTGGAATGTCGCAGGAACATTTAGGCATGTGTCACAGGTATGTTTAAATAAAAGGTTAAAGTCTCATGAAGTCTCAAACCTGGTGTAGCATGAAGCCACATCTACTGTACGTAGAGCATATGGCCCTCCAAAAATGGTGTAAATATTTTCCAATTTTCCAGCTGTCAGATAGTTGTCCTGAATGTGTCCTATACATAATCCTATCCAAACAGAACACAAAGAGTTTATTCCTCAAGCGGCAATGAAAGCCCTCACTAGCCACTGCTTCCAAGGCGACCGCTTCTCAGGTGCCAGTACTTGATTCTAGACCTCCCTCAGGTCGCTTTCTTCATATTTTTCGCTGCATGGATTATGGTGCCAATCAGACCCAATATTTAGACCATAAGCCTCCTATAGGTGTCGCTTTAGAGTTTATGTCTTAATATTAAACACTTAATATTAAAATTAATTAATATAAGCTGTTATTTGCCATGGCAACGCCTAAAAACTAAGAATATCCAAACAGCGAACTCTTAAACTTAAAAGAGTCTAGAGCGGGAAATGACAACTTACGAGTCATTGCCATGAAAAACCTAGGATGAGAATGCATTCGAAAAACATAGTCAAGTTGGTAGAGACATTTCCCGCTATGATGGCGGACTTCCTGTTTGTCACAGAGCAGTGCTCCATTTGAGTTTAGGCTTGTTGATCATTCTTTCACCGTTTATCACTGTTTATCACTGTAACTTCCTGTGGTATTTAAATGTTTTAATTATCTGTGTAATTTGAATTGTGTTGTTAAAGGTGATTTTGGTGTTTGTTTTACATGAACCGTGAAGCGCTTTGTGTTGCTTTGTGTAGGAAAGGCGCTGTTCAAATAAAGATTGATTCATTGATTGTTCTGAATGTTCGTAATTCAGAATGTCTGGTTCCCAGGCTTTCATATATACTGTTTGCATATACTTTAAAGTCTGTGTAACTTCAGGAAAGTAACAATAAAACCCTGTGTAACTTCAATATTAACTTTTATTTCGGAAAAAAATTAAATTATAATGCACTCTTAAGTCCCCATACCACGTTCTTGACAAGTTCTCTCGTCGATACAACGTGGGTGAATTAACAACTGTATGAAAACTGAGCACAATAGAAAGTTGTCTGTCTGTGAGCAAACAAAAGAAGCAGATGAACAAAGAAATATATACAGCTTTGATTATGAGGCCCTATAGTTTGTCACATACATTTCTATTCAGGGCTAGACAAAAAAACCTACAGTCAGGACAATATATTGTCCTGACGCAGCCGTTTTGTGTGTAAGGAAGTAAATGATGTTTATTTATATAGCGCATTTTACGGACCAAGGTCACCCAAAGCAATTTACAATTTTCTGAGTTCAGATTTCCATTCTCTCCACACGGTGAACACACATCAAAGCCACAAATCATCCCCATCCATTTACTCACTACATTTAGACCTATTGTACATGTTTTAGTGGTAGGGGACACCTACGCAGACACGAGGAGAACATGCAAACTCCACACAGAAAGGTCTGGAGGTAGAATTGAACCCAGAACCTTCTTACTATAACTGCTTCGCCAACCATGCCTCTGTGTCTGTGTCTGTGTGTGTGTGTGTGTGTGGGTACATGTGTGTGTGTGTGTGTGTGTCTTGGTGGGTCATGTGACTGCTGGAGCTGGTCAAACAAACACAGCAGTGTCCTTCCTCCATGATGTCACCATGCTGACCCCAGATGACCCCACACTGTTTACATCTGAGCCATAACTGTGCGTCTGCTTCTACATGCCCACTCACACCACTCACCAAAACGCTCATGTATGTATGTATGTGTGTAAGTATGTATGTACACACATATGTATATGTATATGTATGTATGTATGTATGCATGCATACATACATACATACATATATATTTGTATGTATGTAATTCCCTCAGAACAAGCAGACAATGTTGTAAAAACTGCTACCACATCTGCAGTCCAATAGACCTAAACGTATTAAATTGAATTAAGACACTGCGACGCAATAAATTGGAATATACTAAAAACACTATTGAAAGTATTAGCTTTTTTAACTATTTCAGAATGTTATTTGCATGTCGTATAGATTTATGTTTCGTTCTAAGACGCCTACGCACCATCAAATTGAAGCTATTGTTAAAACAGTCAATATTTGCTATGTATCTATCATGAAGAATTTTACATATTTTTGATAAAGCCCTTTAAGAAATATATTTGAAACAGATAAAAGGTGGAGCCCAGAAACGTTATAAAATAGAGGACTACTAATCCATTCCAACTCACTTTATTTAAAAACAACATTTTATAAACGGCCGGGCTCCCAAAATGTAAAAACATTTTTGAGGTGCCGCTACTAAGCCGTCTTTCTATATTTGTTCTCAGGACCTTGAGTCGTAATAGAACTGAAGTGTGTTATATTGGGCCATACCGGACACTTGCATTTTGAACCATCATGTATATTGCGATTTTCAGAAATAAATATTAGAAAAGGATGCGGGAAACCAGTATGAAAGTGTCCTGGATTCAGCTCAGACTGCAGTTCTGCTACTTTGGTGACACAATTATTCATATTCATATTATTTCAGTTCATGCCTTTTCTTTTCATCCTTTTATTGAATGTTATGAAAAAAATGTGTGTCAAAAATACATTCAAAATTGACTAGCAAATTCTGCATCTGCCTGTATTCTTTCCAGCATTATTGTGAGATTTGGTTATCCCTTATAAGGGCGGAACCAAATCTCCCTTATAAGGTGCTTTTTTCTGATGGAAAAAAGCACCTTCATTTTGGCTGTTGCCAGGCGACCAAACCACCCTCCTCCTTCTCTGGCCTCAGCAACAAAGACACAAAAAAAGGTGTGCAGACGTGCCCTAAAAAGGTCTCATCAGAGGTTCCAGCTCTTATTGGATTGTTTCATTACATTCAAGTGGAGTAACTAAATCCATTCTATCCCCCCCACCTCACATTGCCTTAATTTGCAATCTGATCGTAGCTCGTCCTCCTTCGTGTGATGTGTTGCCGTGCTGCTGTTGCCAGTGGAGACAGTGATTGGGTTGGGACATCATGTTCGTGTGTGGAGCGGGTGTGCAGTTGATAAAAGATATGATTGTCCTGCTTTGGTCCTGGTTTGAGACTAGGGGCTGGTCTGAACATAGACTGTATTGACAATGCTAACCCAATCAGCTAAATGAAGCCCAATAAGGAAGTGCTCATGAAAAGTTTTTCTACTACTCGCTCTTGCTCCTTTTGACTTATATGTATAGGTCAACTCCTTAAAGAAGCTATACCCAATTTTTTTTCTAAGTAGTTCATAAAAATGCTTTTTACTACATACAAGTGGTATCATAATACATAATTTAATTGAAAACTTGAGGTCATTGATTCAGCTGTGTATGAAATTCAGGCAGTGAAATGTGCTGAGTAGAGTCTGAGCGGGACGCTCGTTCTCCTCCACTCACAGAACGAGCAGCGAACAGCCCGCGTCCTCTAGCCTCTACAGCGCTGCTCAACACCAGGGCTTCGACTTCAAAATTTGAATATAATTCTAAAATTAAAAAATATATATATTCAAACAAATATTAGACAGCACTTATAATTCGAAATGTATTTAATGACTGAAAATAAAATAGTTAGCTCCCAAAGGATTCACCGGGACGTGCTAGGCTGGTAACAGCTAAGCTAGCTAGCTGGCATGGTAACTTCCGGGGTTTTCGCGATTGCTTTTTGTCACTTTAAAACAGTATTTTTGTCATGAAAACGTTGACAGCAAATTCTGAAATCGTCCGTGCATGTGTGTTAAGGATGTATATGTATACTGTATTGTCCGATTAACGTTTAATGGTGTTGATTGATTGATATGTATTTGTTTATTGAGTGTGGCTAGCAGTGATGGGAATAACGGCGTTTTTTCAGTAACGAGTAATCTAACTAATTACTTTGACAGTAACTATAACGCCGTTATCATTTCCGACATCCCGTTACTGCGCGTTACTCAAGACGCACAATGAACGTGTTGTCATGAGAGAAGGGAGGATGAGAAAACCTCTCAGCAATTATTGGCTGATGTAAATCATATTTCCTTTACAATCTACATGTCTACAGTTGAGAGGATGGCTCATAAATTGTGTTTTTGAAACAAATATGGGTCTTAATCGCGCTCAACCACGGCTTGTATCACCGTGAGGTCAGCCACAGAGTAGCGCATGTGAGCGCAGAAGTCGGCTGCATACAATTCCATCGATAAGCTCCTTGCTCTTCCTGGTTTATCTGCTAAGGACAGCAACAGGTTTGGCTAACATACATATAACACATTTTTACATAATCTAAAATGCACATAGGGTAATTTTTCAATTACTATAGGAATGATAAGAAAGAGAGGTGAAGTGTAAGACTGTTGATTTTAGAAATTGGATGCAGCCGGCTGCAGCAAAACAGAGGAGTTTACGGAGGACACACGCGTTTTGTTTTACTTTTTAAAACTCATTGGACTCATTTCCAAATGGAGGATTACATATCTACGCCCAAACCATTCACTGGATTTAAACAAGGAACTGGTCTGAACCGAAGTGGACTGTGCAGGTCATTTATAAGGTATAGCTATAAGGTAAGACCCATAACTCATAGTTTTGCGTTTTGTATGAACAAACAATGCGGGCATAAAACATATTTTTCTGTAGCCAAACAAATTGTCCACTTGATTTATATGATGTATATGTTCATCTGATTGGACTGAAGTCAGTGCTTCACCAGCCTCACCGCTCGTCACCGGTGTTTCCACATTCACAGTGGCGGGTGTTGGTGTTTAGTGCTTACAGCACAGAGAGAGATGAAGAGTGAACAGGACTTCAGCAGCAAAACAGCCTTTTCTAGATGGAAATATTGGCACTGTTAAAGGTAAAAATGCGCACGTCGGGTGCACATTATGTTCCAGAACAAAACGAAAAAGTAACGCAATAGTTACTTTTACTGGTAACTAGTTACTTTTATAGTGGAGTAACTCCGTTAGTAACTCAGTTACTTTTTGGGAGAAGTAACTAGTAACTATAACTAATTACTTTTTCAAAGTAACGTGCCCAACACTGGTGGCTAGCTCCGCTAGCTTCTCTACACAGACAAGTGGCAAGGCAAGGCAAGGCAAGTTTATTTATATAGCACAATTCATACACAAGGCAATTCAAAGTGCTGAACAAAACAAGAAAGCATTAAAATCATAAATAATCACAGAACATTAAAAAGAAAGATACAAATATAAAATCCCTCAGTTGTATGCACAGCTAAACAGAACTGTCTTTAAAATTCTGTTTTAAACCTGCAGAGTAGACAAATGTGTAGTGTGGACTGACAATAACCCCCTCAGTCATCTGGGAACGGCCAAGCTGTGGGCTACGGAGCAGCGCTGGGTGGCAGAGCTGGCCGTCTTTGACTATCTGGTGAAGTATCGCCCTGGCCGCACCAACCAGAACGCAGACGCCCTCTCCAGGCAACCTCTAACAAACCCCCCAGTTTCATCTCGTCCAGGTACACTAATCCCAGGGGAAGTCGACAAGGCAGTACGGCCAGAAAGGGTGGCTGTTCAATCCGCCATTTCTGCATTGCCGGAACGAACTCCCGGTGACTTGGTAATCATACAGCAAGCAGATCCTCTTATCTCTTTTGTGCATCCCTATGTTCAGCAGCAACGAATGCCAAGCCTGACCGAGCGACAAGACAAGGGTCCTGCGTTGCAAGAGTTACTACGCCAGTGGGACCGACTGCGCACCCGAGACGGACTATTGTACCGGGCTTATCAACGATCAGATGGAGGGGAGGAGGTCCTACAGCTGGTGTTGCCAGAGAGCCTTCGCGCAGAGGTCTTTGAGCAGCTGCATACGCATCACAGTCACCAGGGTATTGAGCGCACAACTGAACTGATACGGCAGAGATGCTACTGGCCTGGTATGCGGTCAACAATCCGTGACTGGTGCCTGCAGTGTGAACGATGCTGTCTGGCCAAGAGCACAGTGCCACGGGTACGCGCTCCAATGGGTCATCTATTGGCCTCTGGCCCAAATGAAGTCCTGGCAATTGATTTTTCGTTTTTAGAACCAGCTCAGGATGGCAGAAAACAAGTGCTAGTGATGACAGACATTTTCTCAAAGTTTACCCAGGTCGTTCCTACTGGGGAACAGTGAGAGAGACAAACTGAGGTACGCCACGTCCATAGAACCATGCTTAAACCTAGGTAGGCTAGGTAGCCATCTCCCAAAACGAGAAGAGGGACAACCCCTGCTACCACCAACAGCGAACCTGAGGAGGAGGGCCTCTGGCTGGCCAGCAACGCTCCAAGCAGACCGCTCGCAAAGGAACCTTGCATCGGAACTCCGGTGGAAGCAGAGGTGGATCCACCGGTTCAAGAGAACCAGAGTTGCCCAGTGAACTCTGACCCCCCGTCACTTAGGAGGTCCAGTCGAAGGACCGCTGGCCTGCATTCAAATCCATATAATCTGCCAGCTAGATGTAGGGGCAGAGGCAGGGCAAGGGCTATAACCTCCTAGATACAGTGCTGTCCAACCACCTTCACACATTGCCGATTGTGGTATTGTCGGACCGCCAATTCAAGAGCCCCGGGGTGAATGTAACCGGTGGGTTGTTTGTCCCTAATGAGCCGCCGTAGAGGGAATTCCCCCCAAGCCGGTACGTAGACTTCCGCATTCCATTACATTAGCGCTCATATATAAACACACAGCAGACACCCGTACCGGCGCTACATCCCTGTGCCACTTGCGCTAATCGTGGTCCCTGGGTCGGGTATTCCTCTCACTGCTGAGGCCTGGTAGGTGTGTTTGTGCTCCTCATTTTTAGTGGAATTCTCAGTTCTTCTTTTTGTGTTTTAGACGCTGGCTCAGACTGCTGCATGTGTAAAGGAGGCGGCGTGCTATGACGTAGCCGCTCTTGTGTAGTCATACTAGGTAATGCTAGTTTAGAGAGGAGGAATAATAGAGGAGGAATATTTATTACATGTGTTAACTCTTTCTTGTTCTTATAGGCGCTGAGTGCCTTGCAGTTTTTATTTGGGTCTAATTGGCATTTCATTTCGTTTTGTTTTTGTTGTTTCTTTATTTACTTTACTTATTTACTATTTACTGTGTTTGTTTGGTGCTTAGTTCATTTTAATATATTGAACCCTGTGATTGGGTACTTGTGCTCATTGTGTCTTGGTGGGGGATTTGGTGATAGACTTACCCACTGCTGCACCATCACTCCTTTTGAATACCGTGGTATTTTGCACCTCTCTTCACCACTTGTACATTTTCAGTATGGTTCTTTTCTTGATTTGGTATGTGTATGAATGTGTGGCACGGAGCGTAGTGAGTGCTCTATTCCAGCCCCTTAGTCCTCCATCGTGTGCGGCCGTTACTGGCCTGCCCTGAGTGTTGCTTTTTCTTTTTGGTTAACATTGGAGCACATATTTGATAATTCTTGATATTTTTTTATTATTACATTTAATACAATGAAATAAAAACATTTTTTCCTATTTCTTAGGTCTCACTTTCCAATAAATTGCTTGAAATTGTATAATTTGTGTCCATTATTTCAGCGCCCTGCGGTCACACTTGGGTTTCTACCAAGAATTTCTCTGAGTTCTAAACAGTCTGATACAAACATCTGCACTGGGAGAGAAACACCCCTCAAAGTAAACAGGCTGCATGCTCTCATCCAGCTCCTACTACAATGTGCAATTGTTGTCCTACGTTGTGCCCCTTGAGGTCAAAGTCCATGATGAAAACAAGATCTCAGTTCAATCAGACAAAGGGTGAATTATAAACAAAAATAAAATGAAATACTTTTGGCTTAAATGATCTAAATGTGTGAAAGAGCGAGGAATAATTTTTACTGTTGCTAATAATTTGAGAATAACTATAAGCCTTTGAAAAAATAGAGCCAATGCGGCACTGTGGCAGAGTGGTAAGCATATATATATATATATATATATATATATATATATATATATATATATATATATATATATATATATATGTAATGGTCGAGACTATGAATTTGGGAGGTTTGGTCTAACTAAGTAGAAATATTACCAGCAACGCCACCCAGTATATGGGAACTGGGACCCGTTAAAGATAAATTGGAAAAGGCACATAGGTTCGTGGACTGACGTGGACAGGAGGCAAGGTAGTACAAAATACAATTTATTTGACCATTTTAAAAAGGACAATTTCATTCCACGACGCCGGACTCTCCACTCTCACTGTAAAATGTAAACTCAGTGTTATCGATTGGCCTCACTAATAAGCCATTGTTCCAACCAGCAGCAGCAGTCCCCTAGAGTTCCAGCACGTTCTCGGCCCAAGCGCCTCCAAGCGCCTCCAAGCGCCTCCGTGGCCCCGCACTGAGGGGAGCCCGATGGATGTGGGCCTGTACCGGAGGAGCTTGAATAGCCCGTGATGCAGCAGCGAGGGTGTCGTGTTTCTCCGGGTACCAGAAGGGGAGACTCGCTCAGAACTGAATGAAATAATTAAATTTAGTATTAATTAAAATAATAAGCCCATTAGAGTTAGTGCAGTATACCCACATGTAGCTCTCCAAGGAGCCCGCACATAGGTCACCAGGAGCCAGAGGCCCAAGATGCGCGCACACACGAGCCCTATAGACCAAGATATAAAATTGATAAGTGACTATAAGAATTAGATTTATTTTTAATGCTTACCGGTATTACAAGTGGACTGTGTATGCGGTAACGGGTGCCTGCCCGCGGCTCTAAGGAAAACTAATTTTGAATAAATACTCCAGAACATAATGAGTTAGAAAGCCAGCTCTACACTCACCAAACAGAGCAGAGCGCTGCACCTGCGGAGGGGTTGCGCAATAACCGCGCTCTGTCCCCACTCCACGGCTGTGCCGGGATCACAGACAATCTAAGAGAAATATAGGTTGAATATTGTGCCAAAACGAAGCCACAAGGCCGGCCGCAAACACTCACCGAGACGCAGATTGAAAGAAGCGTGCCTGCTGGGTCACAAAGCCGATGTAAAGGCTGGATCTAAAGCAACATGTGCTTCGGACGCCACCAGCGAGCAGCGTCCCGACGTCAGAGGCGAGGCATTATTATTATTATACATATATATATTGTTTTGTTGTTTTTTAAACATCTGCATAATACAACATCAAATCTTTATTGAATCTAATTAGAATCTTACCAAAATTATTCATACATTGTTTTTTTGAGCCCTACTGTCTACTTTATGTTGTGTGAATCAGATGAGCTGTTTACTTTGTGGTTGCTGTCCTGGTAACTGTCAACCTTTGTCACATCTGCTACTGATATCAAACCAGGAAGTCACTTTATAAACCATATTTGCAGACTATTGAAACCTGGCCAAGAGTTGAAAATGCACTATGAATCCTTTTTATTATTTGTACTATGTTTTATTGAAAGGTGTGGACTTTTAAAAAGTAACAGTCGCTTGGAGGAGCGACAGATCTGTGGCTCTGTCCAGGTTCAGTGTATTTGGAGTCCGTTTCCACCGAACACTGCAACCTTCACAAGCTTGTTTCCAAAATGATAGTATGTCAAAAGATTTATTGGAAACCCCACATTAGTTACTTGAGGACAAAAGTTGCTAAATGTGTTGGAATTATGAAAAGAACAATGCGCTTCTGTTACTGTATCATGCATTCATAATGTCTGTTACAAATCCCACTTTAGTCGTTGGTGTCTTTGCAAAAACACTTAGGATGTCCACTATAATGTCCACTATAAACATCATTCTAACCCAGGGGTCTCCAACCTGTAGCTCGGGAGACACCAGTAGCTCGCCACCCCCTTCTAGGTAGCTCGCCAAAGGATTTAGAAATGAAAAAAATCAAATAATATACTGAATATTCCAACATGTATTATCCATTATTACTATTTATTATTGAAAATGCACTTATTTTGTCACTAGTAACAAATATGTGATGATAAATAATGACTGTTCCCAATATCAGGTTCTTTCACACCAATATATAACCAAATTTTTCCCAGGGCCGATTAAAGGAGTAGCTCTCTGCCTTTATTGTCCCGGGAAAGTAGCTCTCTGGGTGACAAAAGTTGGAGACACCTGTTCTAACCCACTGTCCATAGAACTAAAAGAACTTGATCAACAATACAGTGGTATGAAAAAGTTTGGACACCCCTTTCATTTTGTTTTGGGATTATCCTTTTAAATCATTGGCTTGGATAAGACATGTTAATGAAATATGTCATATAGGAAACAAACACAGTGACATTTGAAAAGTGAAACAAAGTTTACATTCATCATCATCATCATTCACAGAACGTGTGAAAAGTATGATTTATATCCAAATTTGTCAGGTGCATACATTTAGGCACAAAACGTGCAGCAGTAATTATTGGAACTCGAAATTAGTTTTGAAACCTCAGTGACCTTTAACCTCCATAGGCAGGTGAACAAACAGTTTCTCTATTCTGGAATAATGTGCTGTGGACTGATTAAACTAACATTCATTTATTTGTGCAAAACAAGGGGTGTTATGCAAGGAGGAAACAGAAAACAAGAAAAAAACACTTGCTACCTACAGAAACATTGGGTGGTGGTTCCATCATGTTGGGGTGGTTGTGTCCATTGCGGGCACTGGGAATCTTGTTAAAATTGAGAAACGCATAGATTCTACTCAGTATTAACAGATTTTGGAGAACAATGTTCAGGATTCAGGGCCAAAGTTGAAGTTGCGCATAGACTGGATCTTTCAACAAGACAACAACCTTAAACACTGCTCAAAATCTACCAAGGTTTTCATGCAGAGGGACAAGTACAATGTTCTGGAATGACCATCTCACTCCCCAGACCTGAATATTATTGAAATGTATTATTGTAATAATATTGCAATGTGATTTAAAACGAGCTGTCCATGCTTGGAACCCATCAAACTTGGTTGAACTAGAGATTATCTGCAAAGAAGGTATTGTGGACCTTCTTGTGGAAGGTGTTTGGAAGCGTGTAGAGGCTGTTTG